AATTTGCTTCGGGTTGCGACCAATTCGGGTTGCGGCCAGAGTCACAGAACGAATTAAGTTCGTAAACCAAGGTTCCACTGTACTGTGTAAATATCTTGCCCTAATTTTGAAAATGAAAATTGTTCATTAATTGTTTTAGCATCAGCTAGCTAGATTATTGCCAAACTCTAAATTAGAATAAATTAAATTCTAATTTAAAATTTAAAATGGAAATTTTCTGCATGCTTATTGAAGGATTTCTAAAGTGAACTAACCATTTAAACTCTGGTAATAACAGACCTATTGCATACAGGTGGTACTAAATATTTTGAAAAGTAACTATTTAGGCTGCAGCCTTATATAATAGGAGGAAAACCTATTGAACTTGGCAATGCTTACTTCCAAAGACAAATGTATAGTATTGCATTGTAAATGGAGTGTCTCATGCAAAGTATTATCTTTGGAAATGTTCTTCTTGAGATAATTTGATTTTGTAACCTTGGATCTATAGTTCTTGATAATGTGGCTGTTGTAAAGAAACTAAATATTCTCTCTCAGAGACCATTTACTTTAATTGGCAGGTTATCTGTCTGGAAAAGAATCCTTTTATTTCCTCCATTTTGTCTTAGAGAAAAAGTTGGAGAGAACCATTGCAAAGCTGGGTTTATTTGTTCAGAAGTAGCATAATTTCTTCTAAGTTTATTTTGGGGATAAATAAACATAATTTAAAATTTCACTGCTGCCATTTCAAAATGATATACGTAGGCAATTTCTCACTAGTCATTTACCAAGTCTTCTAGAATTACACAGGCATCATAAGGCCCAGTTTTCCTCAAAATAAACTTTTTTATAGTGCAAATTACAAGCATGAGGAGAAGCTGGTTCTGGATCAGGGCTACAGTGGTAGGACAAAGCATTACACTGCAAATCCCAATGAGCCTTCCCATCATTACTTTAGTAAGGCGGGGGGGAGACATTGCTGCATGCAGAATATTAAAGACAATGTGTAGAATTGCCCCAAGATATTCCTATACAAGCTGTTTGAAGCAGGCATTTGACAAAGCCCCTGAAGGCCAATTTTTTACTTGTATGTTAGACTCTCATCTGTTCAATAAATGGTACAGAAGAAGGGCATATGGAGAAAGGGATCTGTTGCTGGCTTTGAATAATACATTGCTTGAACTACACTATTTCATTAGAGCTGATGTACATTGAATCCCGTGTTGACATGACAGACAAGTCTTGTGCATACATTTAGTAGTTATTCTTTTAAGATGTCTCCTTTCAGGTTTAAAAACCTACTGCTGTTTTGAATTTTTAAGTCATTTATTGTTATTGTGTTTTAGAAAGATTAAACGTGGGCCAGACATAGCCTTCCTAGAATATTATTCCTGTTCTTGAGTGTAAAGTACTGTGGCTTTTTCAGCGATGCTGTATTTTCCCTAGGATTCTCAGCTGAGGAACAGTGGAGCTAATAGAAATGTCCTTGGATGAATTCCAGGAAAACAAAATGTAAACCATATGTGTATTAATGCATATTTTATCACATGCACAAAAGCATTTGCTCTTCCTCAAGTCAAATGCAGTGTTCCTTGTTCTTTGGGTCTCTTTGATAACGGTAGTGTCATATTGTTTAATGTCTATATATGTGACACAAAACAAAATAGAACCATTACATGTCTCCAGAGATACTGAGGTCTCCTCATGCACTGTTATTACTGTTATAAAAATTTATATCTTGCCACATTCAAACTACTCTAGGTGATTCACAGTTATAAAAACACACAAACAGAATTAAGTGCCATAAAAACGATACAATTTCATGAATCAGATTAAAATTAAAATTCCAAACCCAATTACACCTTAGTATCCGTCATCATTGAGAATGACCCAGAAAATAAGCAATTTAAACCCCAAATGCCTACAGGAGGAAAACCATCTTTACAGCCATCCTAAAAGATAACAATGAAGGACAGGATTATATCATGTGGACAAGATAGCCACCAAGAAAGCATGCCTTCAAGATTCCCACCCCACCCATCTCTTAGAGGGGGCAGATCTGAAGCATCCCTTCCTATGCGGAACACGCAGTTCAAACAAAATAATACTGGAAGTAAAGCCATGTAGGGCTTTATAAAACCAACACTTTGAAACCTGTTGATAACCAGTGCAGTGCCCACAAAATTGGTGTCACCCAGCTGAAGCTGCCTTTATTTGCCCCAACAAGCTAACGGATTTTACACCAATTGTGGTTTCCGGGTTATCTTCATAGGCAGCCCCAAGTAATTGTCTTCTATCAAGAGGAGAAGGGCATGAGTAACTATTGACAAGGCCTCCTATTCCCAAAAGGGCTGCAACTGGTACATTAGTGGAAGCTGGGTAAAGGCTCCTGACCACAGATTCTACCTGCTGGTTAATTAGTAGCTGTGGTCCAGGAGATCCTCAAGTCACCTCCTTTGGCAGGGGTATGATTCCATTCAAGACCAACAGCAGAGCCAACATGATTCAGATGAATAGTACCTCCGTCTTGCTAGGATTCTCTTTTAGTTTATTTTGTCCCATCCAGTCCCTCATAGCCTCCATACCATGTGAGGATCTCCGCTGCATCTCCACATCAGCCCAGGTTTGGGATGTACAACTGGGTATCATCATACAATTGTTAAATTGCAGGGGAGAGAGCTCCAAGTCATATGGCACCCCACAAAGCAATAGCCTGAAGTTCAGCTACTCATCTCCCAACATTACCATCTGGAACTACCCATTCAGGAAAGAATGAACCACAGTAAAAGAGTGGCACTTCCCGCAGACCTTCACGGGGAACCCAGTAGGATACAATGATTGACAATATCAAACTCTGCTGAGAGGTTTTATAGGACTGAGAGAGCTATTCTCGTTTTGTCTGGGACCCAACAAAGGTTATCCAATAAAAATGACCAATGCATTCCCTGAACTCTGAGTGAAAGGAATTGAGATAATCCATTTTATATAGGAGATTCTGCAATTGAATGCAGTATAATGGGGTCCATTTTCCTTCTCATAACATTTAAAAGTTTTGACATTATGATATAGCTGTATGTTTCCTAGTTTTTAAGCAGCTCTATGTGTGTATATATAATTTTAAAATATGTACTGTTTATGTGGCATAAGATGGAAAGAATGCTTTTTAAAATGTACATCACAGTAGTGACATAATTTGATTTTGTTAACCAAAGTAACTCTGTTATAATCTGTGATAAGTGAATGATGTCTGATTTAAATATTTGGCTTGAGTAGAGTCCCTCCAAGCAAGCAAGAAAGAGCAGAAAATGCATTAATTTTGCATGTAAAGAGACTGATCTGACTCACTGCTGTTACCATATTAGTTCCAACGTGCATAGACAGGTGCTTTGTTTGCACATCATGCTAAATCACAATGTAGTTTATTATTTTGTAGTAGATTTATCAGGTTGCATGAACCTAGCTATTGTGGTTTGCAAACATGGTTTATAGCTTATATTATATGAATAAAAAAAAGGATACTTTATTCAATAAATCATGATTAAACAGGCCATAGTTTAGCCTGATATGTGAATCCAGACATATTTTAGATGTGGCCATTCCTTGCAAACTGATAAATCAGTGTCTGATTTGTATTACTTTAGACTGCAAGCTTAGGTTTCTTTTGTTTCTCTCTTTTAAAAACATCTGTACATAAAAAGCTACTGTGTCACAGAAAAGTCTAATTTAGGACTTGTCCCTGACCTCTAGGTTTCTCTGTTGAGATGATGATGATGAAGAAGATGATGATGATGATAGCATATCCAGTTGTGAGCCATAGTCTACACTGATACGTTATAGAAATCTTAACATACACGGATTAGAAGGGGCCTTAGAGTTCACTGAGGTACAGGGCCCCAGTCAAAGTGGGTACAACCCTGTATTTTTGTGGAATAAGGAAAAATAGTAATATTCAGTCTTTAACTTATATTTGCATTAGCAGTGCACAACAGATTCTATTTCCTCACTACCAAATGAGGCTAATGTCTATGAAGACAATTTTTAAAATACTGAATATAGGTAGCCTACATGTTGTAGTACTTATGCCTAAAGTAATTTTAAGTCCAGAATTGCCACAGATTTATTTTATTTATTTATTATATTCCAAACTGCCCAATCTACCAAAAACTCACAGATGGTACACCTGGAAAGATCCCTAGCCAATGCTGACTCTTGTGTATAGGAATGAATGTATTATTACATAC